TGGGGGCCCCCAGCAGCAATCACCCCCCTCGGTCCAACGCGCCCGATGCCAGGCAGGGGTTACAGCCAAACAGACAGATAAGAAAATACTTCTGATATTTCCCAGAAACAGCGTTTAGAAACCACAGTTTTTGCAGCTCCCCATAGAAAAGATGGGTTTGGGCACAGGCCACGGCCCATGTCTTCTCTAGTAGAAACGCTTGTTCCGCTCCTGGCGTTTCTGGAAGACCACAGCTCCCACCACAGCGCACACAATGATGCCCAGCAGCGCGCACAGTAGCAGAAGGAACACCTTCCAGCCCGTCAGAGGACCACTTCGGAAATTCCCCGTTGGGTCATCCACATTGTCTGCAAGGACAGGAACAGCTACAGAGACAGACCCAGCCTCGGCTCCTACAGGGTCTCGCAGGGACTCACAGCTCTGATGCCTTCCAACAGGCCTTTAAATGTCCAGCCCCAGCATCCCAATCCTCCACCGAAGGTTTCTGAAGCCCAGAGACTCACCTTTGGGAGATTTAAGGAGGCTGACGCTAGGCTCAATCTTAGTCCAGTCAACAGTCTCATCTTCTAGAGGGTGCTCCACCATGAGCTGGAATAGCTTCATTGAGATAATGTCGTGATTGTCTAGGGAACAACCATCAGCACCGAGGACCGTCAGAAGCTCTGAGAGATGTCCACGTGCTCAGAGCACCCCTAGGACCATGCTCTGCCAGGGCCAGGTCTCCTTCCCTCTCAAGCCACCCTCACACCCCAGGTATCAAACCACAATTTGAGATGTTCCTCAGCTCTTAGGTGTCTCCTTTCTCAGGCCATGGGTCCCTACCCAATAGGGTCTCAAGATTTTAACAATTCAGGGAAAAGAAGCCATCAAAGCCATCCAATGCATCTGTAGCATCATATTCTGGGCCCCAAACAGCAGGTATTCCTGCAAGCAAAGCCCCCTCTCACCAGACAAATCTCCAGTGCCAGCAGAAGCACCAAAGAAATAGCCGGTTGGCAGCTGCACCCCTGCAATGTCAATGCAGTTCTTCCATTCGTTTTTATCTTCCACGTCAGTCATCACCTGCAAGACACGGGAGCGTCACACCAAGAACACGCATCGCCATCCTGCTCGCCTGCAGCTCTCTGGGAGCCGGATGCGCAGTGGTCAAGCCTGGAAAACCATCTCCAGGTCACACAGCAACACCTGCCCCTCAGCACTGCACCGTCTAACATGCGAGAGACACCCCGCAGAAGGTGTCCGCCACATCTCACCGTCAGGCGGCCTCGGGAGTACCGAATTGCCAGGAAAGTGTCATGGTTCTGGTTCCGAAGGTCGGCGGTGCATCCCGCCAGCTCTGTCCAGCGCCCGTCCTTACTGTGGTCGTATGTCAGGGAGCCATTGTTCACCATCGCGGAGATATAGGGGAACATGCGCTGCAGGGAGGAGAGCGCTGCTGCTTTCAGTCTGCAGGAGCTGCAGACCAAGAGCCACCTTCCCCTGCCAGGGCAGAATCTCAGTGACAGCAGGATCTCAGCCAGGCACGGCAAGAACCACAGCTTTGCTGCGCAGTTGGGTACGGAGGGCAGAACAATGAAATCAAGGCCCCTTTTCTATGTGAAGCTGCTTCTAAACTGAGCAAAAGCTTGTTCTGGCTAAAGCAGAGTCACCATTTCTGACCTTCCATATCAAGACCCCCCTGAGCTCACACAGTATGGCGTGCCCAGGGCAGTGAGATCGCCCCAGACTTGCAGAGTAAGTACCAGGCCGGGTAAGAAGTGTTAAGCACAGAGCATGAGACCCAGAATGGGCAGAAATCTCCGTAAGCAGCAGAACCACACTCAGAGCTTTGCTGTCAATAGATCACGTACACCAGGAGAAGCCAAGTGGAGGCAAGAATTCACCTCCCAGTGAGCATCAAGACAACAAGGAGTTGGGTCATTTCCAGCCACTTTATGACTTAAGTATCACGGTTTTGGTGCAACAGATCTCACTAGCACAGTTACGTGTTCTGATTGTACTGTAACAACATCCACGAACACAGAGCAGGAGACAAAAAAGGGACCAACAGCCCCCAAACTTTTTGGCCAAACTATTTCGGCCACAGAGAGCAGAAAGCCAGCCTGGGAGTTTCTTTTTTAGAGACATCTAAGTTGGAAACAATGTGGCACGATCAACCAAAGCACAAAGAAATGACACTCAGGATGAATACACTTTCAAGTGGATTCATCTAAGTCAACTTAATAGGTGGTGCACAGCTTACACCAGCCCCGTGCCACCCTCTCATCCTGAGGGGAAAAGGCCTTGGAAACATCTGTGTAATCAACAACAGCAGAAGACAGAGCAAAGAGCTTCTTATCTCCATTAATACACCTACAAACTCTTCCCTTTACCAGCTCCCATGACACGAAGAGCAGCCCACTCTCACATAAGGAGAATGAAGCACTCAGAGCACAAAGCTGCGAGGAAACAGCCTCCTCGGCACTGATTGAGCTCCCCAACCTACTCACCTCTGTCGCTTCATCGTTGGGATACGTATCAAGGAAAATAGCCAGTCCGTGAAAGTTGTCCTTGCTGCCAAAGACAGGACCTGGAACAGGGCAGAACACAAGGAACAGAAGGCTCTCAGATGGAATTTGTGCTCAGAGACTTGGATTGAAAAGAGCTGTAAGAGCTGTTTATTGCCAGGCAGATGACCAAGAGCGCCTGTTTCCAGGGCAGAACACACCATCCCGATCCAGCGACACCAGAGAGGAGCTCAAACGCCCTCCCTAGTGAGAAACCTTCACAGGGGTGGCTCCAAGGGCAGCTCCCCGGGTCGCCCCAGGGCACGGATGAGTGCTGACACCCGGCTGCGCACCGTACCTGGCACCAGGCGCTCCTGCGTGTACCACAGAGCCAGGCCGTCCCCGTGCAGGTTCTTCTTGCCGGCTCCATGGATCTTGAAGTGGACGTGGAGCTCCCAGTCCTTGAGGAAGCAGGGCTGTGCGGAGAGACCGCCCGGCGCCATCAGGGCAAGAGCGGGGAG